CCCCAATATTGCACACTATCCTTCTCGGCTCAACAATAAAACAGAAAAATCATTGTTACGTTTGTAAATCGTAAATGAACATCATAGTTATATTTTTGGTTTCTAATATGGTAACAAACAAAAAATTATATAAGCTAAAAGAACTTTTTTTTAATGACCTTTAATGTAAAAGAATTTAAAGAATATCATTAGCCGAATGGATGAAAAAAAAAATATGATATGGAGTAATGTGTTATTTAGACTCCTGTCGCTGGATTTATGTATACCTAGCTGGATACTGATAATGATCTTAGAGTATAATAAACGTGAGCCACCATCTGGGCCCGAGGGTTATGACCCGGTCCGTTTATGGGGCCGTACCCCCGGCCAGAGTTAGAGCCCTTGCACTTCTTCTAATATTAGTGGCTTCTTTTATAGTGTCAGCCGCATCTGAACAGGATCTCTGTTCCGAATATTGCCTTTTTTCCGGTGACGTACGCTAGGGCATAAACCTGTACGGAGAATCAATAGATATTATGTATCTTCCTATTAATATCGTTTTTTCTAATTGTCAAAGATTACATAAGTAAATTTTTTAACAATCGATTTAATTGTCTATAGCTCACATAAGCCAGAATGGCATTATTTAGCACGACGAACAGAATCTTTTGATAATTCTTATAATAATATAATTCTTATTGATAATATTTTGATTCTCATTTGAAGTTGACAGTATAATGGTATGGAAATCGTATTCCTAGTATCCGGATAAAATGGTGTCAGGGATGTAGTAACTAGACAGATATAATATATATTGTAAAAGCTATTATTTCATTAGCATATGTTTCGACCAACTTAGTAGGTCTACATCAGGGCATTTCATCCAGCATTGCCGGACGAAGCTAGGGAACTGATATGAGAAGGTGAGTGTGGGAGGAGAGGGTTGATGTTTTTTTTATATAATGAATTCAAATCTTAATTGACTTTTAATTAATTATTAATTATAATTGGTAGCTCGAATCCCAGTACCCAGTTGGACTTTAGTAATTCCTCCGCTCTCTTACCCAGCCTAATAAAAAAACTTGTGCAGCCTAAAAAGGCAAGAAAGAAGCGAAAAAAAAAATAATGCGTTGAATTTTAAGACGGTTGTAACATACGACTGTGCATTAAATATGATTTTTGCTTCCTCAATACCGAAGGTAGGGAAGCATTGTATCCGTGGGAGAGGTTAAAAAAAAATGTGTGCTCAGAATTTCCACTCGCGTTTTACGTTTCAAACATCAAGAACCAAATATGGTTCAGTGTCTATCTGTCGGTCTGTCTGTAGTCAAATAGATGTAACGGGCATATTACCCAGTAATAATAGAATTTCTTGTAATCTAGTATCCTCCATACTTGTTCCTTTTCATTATTCAAATACCTGGGTACATCCCAAACCCTTGTTCCATCCCTGCAATCATGTAATTATATTTTATAAATGGAATTTTAATAAAAGTAAACAGTAGTTCCTACTTCTTATTTTGTGACATCAAAAGTCAATGGTTTTCCTTCTCACATTTTTTTTCCTTCAGATTTTTTTTTTATTACAATGACAGGTAGTCTTTCTTAGTGGGCGGGGTGGCCGAATGGGCTAACGCGTGTGCACAGCACCTGATATATCAATCAAATGATATAAAAATAATCACGAGTTCGCATCCTGATATATCAATCAAATGATATAAAAATAGTCACGAGTTCGCATCCCGGTGCTGAGGGAGTCTTTTAAATCCCCGCCCACACTCCTTGGCCCGAGAAAACCACGTATAGCCTTAACGGCGTGGAAAAGGAGGACCCAAAAAAAAAAAAAAAATGTAGTCTTCGTTAGGTAGTTCGTCATTTTTGTAGTATTATACAAATATTAAAAAATATATAGGTAATTATTTCAAATTCATGTTATCACATGTCACAAATCTTGAAGAATGGTGTCAAAACTGGAGAATTGTAATTAATTCCAATAAATTCCATTAGATTACCTTTACTCTTCGACGTAAACCTATGACTTTCTGTCGCACAGTATCCTTTAACAATTCCTCACTTATCCCTGTTGAACAAATCCGATACGTAGGACTCCATCAGGACAAACGACTCACTTTGAATCCTCATTTAAGTCTGAAAAGATAAGAAACTGCTCAACGATTTCGACTACTCCAGCACTCACTAGACAAACGCTCTAAACTTTCAATGAATTACAAAAGACTCATATACATGACTATAATGAGGCCAATTTGGACTTACGGAATTGAACTTTGGGGCTCCACTAAACCATCGAATTCCTCTCGTATCCAATCCTAACAATCCAATATTCTTAATGGTCCCTACTTTGTTACAAATAAAACCATCCATAATGACCTAAATGTTTCCTATATTTAAGATCTGGCCCAATGCAGATACCTATCCTTCCATAATAAACTTCAGAATCATCGCAACCCTCTCGTTTCTAACCTTGCTTCCTCTTCAATTCCTGATAACCCTCTTAGGCGTCTGAAAAGATGGCCTCGTTATCTCCTAATGTAGACATATCATTAGAGTGCTAGTATCATTGGGTAGTTTCTCAACAAGTGTTTTCACGTCATTATTATATTCAAATTTACTAAACGTATTTCTTTAATACCAATATCAATAAGAATCTTAAAATAATTTTTTTTTGTTATTGAAGTTATAGTATATATTGTTAGATTTTTTGTTAATGTTGTCTTTGGTCAGATATGTGTCTTATTTGTGCGCAGAGGGAGTAGTCCCAGATTAAAGTTTATTTTTCAATCTAATTATTTATTTTTTATTTCATATATCATGATTGACCGAAAGGATTGACGTTAACAAAATATCTTTAATAAATTATTAAATTTTTGCATTAAGATTCTAAATACGATTTGAAGGAGTTGATTACCCTAACATAACATACGATAACATACAAAGATATACATAGAAAAAATATATAGTTGAATTCAAGCCGAGTTGATATCGTTTTCAAGAACGTTGAGTCCTCTACTGGACTGTAAAAAGAAGTTCCGATCTGTGATATTATAGGCAGTAGGAACACATCGAATGGAAACGGCATTGATGCGGAAGAATAACGAGAATAAGGACCGCTCATGCATACAGCGACAGAAGGAGCGGGGAGAAGATAGAGTCGGACATGTTATTAGAATGGTAAAACGGCTGGGCACTGTTAATCCGAAGTGGAAAGAGGGGGGTTAGGGGAGGTGTGGGCAAGTCATTAGGCTGGTCAGTGTTGTGGAAACATCGTTAAACGGTGGCCGAGGCCCAATCAGCTGCCGCCCTGTCTCCAAGATGACCTCACAGAATTATACTCCCCCCACTCCTCCACCCCTCCACACTCTCTTCCCCCCCTCCCTTCAGCTGTATATATTTGCCCAATTACCGCCGGCTATATGCTCCCCCCTTCCGCTAAGCGCTCTTTTAACCTATTTGCGCAATTTAGCAGCCATTCAAGCGCCCGCTTCCCGACCAAATAGCCCCGCTTACTAATGACATTTTCCTACATTAGGCAGCAATTTTTCCAGCCTTGTCATCCGAGAGTGGGGATAAAAGCGGTAGTCGTTATTTTATCTCATGAAAATTCATAAGCCCCGATGAGGAAATTAATAAAATAAATTTAATAACTCGTAAGCTGGAAATAAAAATATGGATGAAATTAGGATTTTATGTCTTTTAATTAAGAATGTTAGAATAATAATTTAATATCGGAAAAACCATAAATGGAAATTCCAACGATTGGAGATTTCTCACTACCTGGGATCGGATGTAAACTCAATTATTGTTCTCGGTCGATAATGGAGGAATAGCATCATAAAGTCAGAGTAAAAAAAGAACACTTACAGCAGGAGAAGGTTAGATGTGTAAATTTTCTCTCATTTTTCATAACATATTTCCCGTTTTGTCTCTCAAATTACAGGCACAATATTGTTTAAATCAGTAGCCATTTTCGAAAGCAGTGGTTCTGAAATGCTAGACAAGGTTTATTTTATTTAGAAAAACATACAATTTAGTCATTTATTTAAAACTTTCTCCTACGACGATTCAGTGCCGACCTTAGGGGCGATTGCCCTGGGGTGCCGACTTGGAGGGGCGCCTGTTGGGATTGTCGTTCTATTTTACCACTTGTAAGAAATATAAGTTATAAAAACTTATTAAAATAATTAATTTTAGCCTATTAATAAAGTAACTCAGGACCAGAAGACTGAGGATGTATAGTGAAACAAAGAACAAGAAGATATTTGATAAAGTTTGCAGCTATAAAAGTATGGAGGTATATGTAAAACAAATAAAAGTGGAACTAGACAGGCTAAAAATCACGGATAAAGATTGCTTTGATAGAGAGCTTTTTAGGGAAAAACTGAAAGAGGTTGGGGCTCTTGTAGGTGGGAGGGAGAGACGAGGGAAAAAATGGACTAAGGAAAAGATAGAGGAACAGTCCAGGAGGATAAGAGAGTATTGGAGTAAAAGGAAGGCTGAGGGAGTGAAGAGGAAACGGAAATGACGGAAGTAACTTTATTAGAGAAATAATGAGTGCGATAAAATTCAAATATCGCTATATTTATATATATATATATATATATATATATATATATATATATATATATATATATATATATATATATATATATATATATATATATATATACATACTATGTTTATTCAAATATAATATTATACAGGTTAAGAAATAAATTTAATATTTTTAGACGGAGGAGAGATGACATCATTGCTCGGGGGCGCCGGTTGTCTAAGGCCGACACTGCTATGATCAGTGTCCTTTTCAGTCTGCCTCTTGAGCTATCAGAAAAAAAAGTTGCTCTGGACATTCCAAGCACGTGAGAAACAGGTTTATTTTCCATCAGACCAAGGCTATACAAGAACTTTATCCGGCCTTTCCTAACATATGGCAGAGAAACTTGGTCAACATGCGAAACAAACAAGAATGGGCCCCATCCATTTTAAAGAAAAGTACTGAGGAGAATCTACGGTCCTATCTGGAGGGAAGACGCTAGGCGAAGGCGCATCGTCAATAGCTTTATGAATGGTGAAGAAACAAGGGCGAGGTGAAGTTTGTTCAACTTGAGAGATTTTTTCGAACCAACCATGCTTAAAGAATGAACAACACTGAGATACCAAAATAACTTAGACCAACATCGGATCCGCACACCTGGAGACCAAAAGCTAGACGACTCGATGGAGTAGATCACTTCTTGACACCCGAAATTGGACAGCTGCAAAAAAATATAAAGGCTACTAGAAAGACTAGGTTGAGTAATAGATTGTGCAGTCATCAAGTAGCAGTAATATAAACAAACGGATAAAGTAGAAATTTAACAGGACATATAAAAAGACATATTTTTATAAGAATTAAATGATGAGCCCAAAATTGAACACAATTATGTAGGTAAATGTGATTTAAATTCATGATTTAACTGCCATCAAAGACTGAGTTCCAACATAAATACTCTGACAGAAATCCTTAAACGCACAAGCTATAGACCACCATGAGGATTACGTAGGCGGTGGCCGGGGTCTAATTAGCTAATTTAAATCATGTGATGGACCCTCCAACAAAATTTTTTCATTGCAAAAGCACTTTGCAGATCACAAATTTAATTTGATGTTCGAATTTTATGTTTAATGAATTAATAAATAAATTAAATTAATGAAAGTCGAAATTAATTTTTATACTTTTATTAAAATATTTAAATTCTCTCAAATAGCAGTTAATATAATATAAATAGCATTTCACTGATTTAGGCATTTATTGAGCAAGGGTTACCTCGCTTTCAATGAGAAAATTCCTGTATGTGCATACCTATACACAAACTGTTCTATTTTAATCGTTAAAAGTGTAAGATCATTTGGTGACTATCACCAAATTATTTAAAAGGTGCCAAGTCATATTTGAAGGGAGAAAAACGGCTTTTAGAGTCAATATTAAGAGTAAATATAAAAGAGTAAAACTCAATAAGTTTTATAAATTAATTAGCTAATTGGATACGTTGTCAGTGTAAATAATATATAACGAAATAGATATTAAATTATATATGTTATACTTTTTAAGAGTAATTTTCTCTATTTGATCAGACTGAATTATTCTGTATACCTCAAATCTGTGTCAATCTGATTTCGTAAATAAGTAAAATTTCAGACATGATGTTTATATATTATTTCTTAAAATATAGTTTTTAGGTTCTTATTTATTTATTTTAATGTTTAGAAGTATGTCTGCATTTACTTGTTACTGTGATTAGTTTAAATATGTTTTTTATGTATAGGTGAATATTTATTTTAAGCATTACTGTTTTTCAGTTACTCCATTTAATTTTTATTTATTGTACATATGGTACCGATGAACTTATTTATCAATATTACTAGCATTCTTAATAGTGACAGAATGTAATAAAATTCAATAAATGAATTTTAAAAAGTTGATTCTTTTTTTTTTTTTTGTACGCCTTATATTTCCTAATACTTCACTAAACCAATTATTGGACGACAATTTTGAAATTTAATCTCCTCCCCCACCAAGGAAAAAATATAAGAACTTACTTAGGTCAAAATAAAAAAAAAAAAGGACAATATTACCTACTAAGGATGAAATAAGAACTACTCATATACTCAACATTAAATAGCAATAGTTCGCATAAGGCTTATTTTTCATTAAAAAAAATATGCCATGTGTAATAAAAAACGTTAGGTCCAAAGATAAAAGAAAAATAAGACCTAGGTTTGTTTATGGCTCATATTTCCACCTCCCCACTCCCTTTGCTTCGCTATTTTTCTTCTTTTGCATATAAATAGAAAATTAGGTAGTGGTGGATCTAGATGGAAACGAACCCCGAACGGTTCAACTTTATAAGCTCACTTCACAGAATTGAGGGGCTTTTCACTTTTCAAAATTAGATCCGTATTGAAGACCATTAAAAGTAAGTCGGAAGTAGTTAAAAGTTTACGAGTCTTGGCGATTATGATTTTAATCACAAGGATTTAAAAATATTTTTTCTCCCTTTTTTAGTAGGCTTATAGGAAAGTTTAAGAGCCTACTTTTTGTTTTGGTGTTGTGATATTTATACGGACAGTTGGCAAAGACCACCCAAACTCCTTAACTCTTCCATTCTTCCACTCTGTTTCTACCCCCACTCTTCCATACCTCTACCTTCAGTAATTCGATAATGCCCTTCTATTAAAGCCTTGATCTTGTATGTACCCAAGTATACTTGGAAGCTTTTACACAATAAAATTGTGAGCCCCAAACCCATGATCTCCCGTTAACATATTGTACTTCATCAAGAACTGTCATTGCTGATTTATTGGTCCAACGCATAAGACTGTATAGCAGCTTTATTTCCATTCAGCAACAAATGTCTAGCACATTCCTTTGGTTTCTCCATTCCTGGGTTTATTAACTCAGTATTTCATGTAATTTCATTTTTTGGCGAAAATATAAATAATCTGCGTTTTCTGTTTGAGTATTATGAGCCACTCAGGACTATATACCAAAATCAGTGAATGTTGAGTGCTACTAAATAACAACTTTTTAGTTCTCATTCACTACTTCATTAACCTCCTTTAACTTATCTTTATTAACTCAGTATTTCATGTAATCTCATTTTTTTGCGAAAATCTAAACAATCTGCGTTTTCTGTAGTATTATGAGCCACTCAGGACTATATACCATAATCAGTGAATGTTGAGTGCTACTAAATAAAAACTTTTTAGTTCCCATTCACTACTTCATTAACCTCCTTTAACTTATCGACTCTATTTAACTATTATCACAGGCCAACATTTAGTCGACTGAAACAGTAATTTTTATGTTTCATTAGAATTCCAAAAGCTACTAAATCTTAGTTGTTCCACTATTACTATGGTTAGTAACCTGTTAGGTGTAATTACATGCCTACTCTCTACATCCCAGACCTCAGTCATATGGATTGTATTTTCATTAGGAAGATCTTTAAAGAGAATGGGCATGAAAATAAACTTATTTTTCTTTTATTAAGACAATATTTCAATCAAAGAAAAATATTTTAGCAGATATTCCGCCAACATCTGAAGCTGATAGTTTTATTGATATATATATGTATATATATATATATATATAATATATATATATATATATATATATATATATATATATATATATATATATATACTTCTTTAGGTACCGGAGGGTGATTAATTATTGAATAGGTATGATTTTAGATGGAGAGGGTACTACAGCTATGGATGAAAGAAGAAATTAAATTCCTTTCTTCTACGATGAGGATCATATAATAAAAATCTGTCTAAAACCGAGGTTGGGAGGTTCTCCGTTTGTAAATCTGATTTATAAACAGTGGTGATGAGACCAAAAACGAATGTTATGGCAAAAATAAATAAACTAACCGGTATGATTTAAGCCTTATATATTGTTCCATTTAAGTGTGTTAAAAACATTTGGTATTTGTCAAAGATAATTCTAAAGTAAACACAATATAGATTTTGAATAATGAAATGATTGATTTGGAATTTCTGACTGGGGGAAATCAAATCCTTAAAATAAAATAACACCTATACGAAGAGTGAAATTTAAAAATCAGCAATCTAAATTTTATTTTTTTATTTAACAGTTTAATCACATGTTTTTTAACCAAAATTGGCTGGATTTTGAACTTTACGCTCCATGACAACCTTCAAGATTCATGGCCACTGATCATGACAAGTAGCAAGTTATCGAAATTTTGACACCGGACCAAACCAGGAAACGGAGAGTTCTGCGGCAGTCGGGAAATGGGTTTGGTGATATGATGCCAAATGAAAAACCATCAAACGTGTCAAGCTGATTGAGTTTCTGTGTAATTATGATGTGTTTTGTTTTCAAGCCAAGTCCTCCATATCAACCTGGCATGGCACAAATGAAGTCCTCTTATTCGCTGTATGTACCCAAGTATACTTGGAAGCTTTTACACAATAAACTTGTGAGCCTCGAACCCATGATCTCCCGTTCATATATTGTACTTCATCAAGAACTGTCATTGCTGATTTATTGGTCCAACGCATAAGACTGTATAGCAGCTTCATTTCCATTCAGCAACAGATGTCCAGCACATTCCTTTGGTTTCTAGGATTCCTCCTGGAGCCTACGAAGTGGATCACTTCTATTTCAATCATAAAGGATAAATTGAAAAATAAAGTATGAGAAATTGAACAATCCCTTTCAAGTATAAAACAAGCAACGCGATATATTGAAAAACGTTTTGATACAGCAGACAATTACATCAAGTCTTGTAATTACAAATCTACCTCGACAACATATTTGTAAGAGAGCGTACAAATAGAAAGTGAACATCCTGAGAGCAATCTTGGGCCGATGTTAGAACTAATTAACAGATGTGCAATTAAGGTTTCCCCTTTGACGTCGGCCATGAGCAAATAGTCGGACTGTTGTGGAGTCATTGAACGGACTAGGCTATTACCGGCAGAGCACTCACTAATGAGCCTCAATGTCAACATCCATAGTGACCTCTATTCGTTCTACTCTTGCTCCACATCCCTCTTACCTCCATACTATAATCTTAAACTGTATTTGTAATTGATATATGGTATGTTATCAAAACTATCATGATAATAAAACAGCAATAAAAAGTACGCTAACCCTTTGAATTAGGAAACCTTTTGTAAAAGAATAACCTTTTAGAAAAAGCCCATTTTTTATCCAGGATATAGGTGGGATCTTTATCTAGGATATAGGTTTCTAGGCCGCATGTGGTAACACGTAGATGGCCTCCAAAGGTTTTTGCGTGATGTATATTAATCTAGTGCTAGAGTTAATTAATATTTAATTAAGTTACGAAAATTAGAAAATGAATAGAATGAGTTGGAAATGTGTACATGGTTATTTATATTTAATATATAGATAGCAATATATATATTTATATACAACATAAAAAATATCAACAATAAAATATAAAAAATTGTGGCAGCCTCTATGATAAAAAGATTACCCACCTAATCTAATCTAGGATATTGAATAATTTAAAAGGTTTGTTGCTGCGGTTTCCTTAAACTATATGTATCCAATGTGTCTTATACATACATATACACATAGGTCTCATGTTCAATGGAAAGTTGCTCGTCCGCTCTTTCTTTCGACAATATTTCCTCGAATCTATCCCTAACTAAATTATTAATTCTCAGCATCCTTCCAACAGCTACAGTCTCCTGTTATTCAAAACCTTGATTAAACGCATTTTATTTAATAACGGTTCAGTATTTTTAGCTCAAATTGTTTCGAAACACTCAGGAGATCTCTCCGAATAATATCAGGCATCAAACTTTAAAAAAGATCCAGTCGTTCGTTCAAAAAAGCGTTACATAGCTTTCAGCGGACGACCCAACCACATAATTTTCGTTTCGCTTCGCTGAGTCGGGTAATAAGACAAACCATGATGAAAAAAAGTTACATATAGTGTATATTTTAACTTTACAGAATGAAAATATTAAATCACTCTTATGCCGCGAATGTAGCCGAGAAGTCAGAGACCCCAGCTCATGTGTTGGACAATTGTTAGCATATCATGTTCCTAGTCACCCGCCGCCTCAATGACATAAAGCATTGTATAGCCGAATTCCTTGAAATAAAGAACTATAAACGTTTTCTAGAAGTTTTCTGTCTGGATACTGAGTGCTCAACAAGGTTCATTGACATCTTGGCGTTCAATCAAACGGAAAAGGAGGCATTCATAGTGGATCTCACGATCAGATTTGGAACCAACGATCAGGATGAGGACGTCAAGGAGGACAAGAACGTTTAAGCAGAGAAAGAAGAAATTTATCGAAATGCATACCTTACTTAAAAGACAAGTACAGAGGTGAATTCGGCGAGAGAGAATACTCAGGTAAAGGATAATGATCCGGACGTAGGGTACGCATCCCTCTTAATACAAGTAAATCTAAGTAGAAGCTCGGTGTTGGAAGGGAGCAGATGCAGACTATGAAAGAAACTATTATTTTAGATTCGTTAGGAATCCTCCATCACCACATATATTGATCTAGGCCTTCAGGTGTTTGATTCTATAAACCGTTCTTGGCATGTCTGATACGTATTCCAATGGTCCGACCTAACTCTCCCTTATATTTTTATACAGTATTCTCTTCTGATTGATGAGCATGCTATGTCATTTAGCAACTCAACACAGTTGAGCAGCCGTCCAATGTTATTGTATTTCTCTCTATAATTTTTTTTAATCTAAAATATTGCTGATTTAGTTTTTATTATTGTTTCGATTAAATTTCCTCCAATAGGAAATTGAAATAAAATGATGTTATAGACTACCAGATTGGACCAGTAAAGAGCCCTCATTAGCAAGAAACAGTGGTTCCTACGGGTTTGTACTCGCTCAAGCGCTATTTCCTTCCAATAAGGCAACCTTCGAATTTTTACCAGCGACTTCTTGTGGCTTATACCTACATACAAGTACTTACATAGTGTATTACAGCATGCGTAATATGTTAGTGTCCTACGACATTACATATAATATTATACCTTTTGGTTGAAAGAGTCCGAGTGAGTTGTGGGTAGGAGAAAGAGGAGAAGCAATAGCCCGGCGAGGCGATCGATGGTCACATCAGCAATCTTAGTAAGTGGATGAATGGGTTCGACCCCAGCCCACTTAGCAATTTACAGTTTCCATCCCTCAGCCAATATCCTTACAGTTCTCATTAGTTTTGCCTTTTATCGGTATATCAAACTTCTTAAAATGGTTTAAGCTCTCAAACTTGAACCTAAGTTCATTACAGTCAATTGGCAAGTATACAAATAAAATTGGGTAAATCCTTTTTTTATTTAATTGCAGTTTACTACATTAAAGAGTGAGATTTCAAATATAATAATATTTTTATTAAAACCAGTAAAAATATTCAATGGGTGCTAAGCATGTTTCAAGTTGGATCAAATTAGTTTGAGTTAACAAAACAGTAAAATTTTGGAAAAATATCGTATCGCGTTAATTGTCCGAAAGGTGTGTTTAATCGAATCGATGCTATAGTATTTATTTATTAGGTTATATTTTGAGTGCCTTGCCCAACTACTTAGCTTAGAGACACCTTTTTGGATGTGCATAACAACATGTCTGTAAAGATAGCATTGTATGGAAGGAAGTAGGTTATATCCTTGTGCATTGAAATCAGTACTACGTAAAAAAAAAATCTGAGGTGTCAACTCACACGACTTCCCTACCTAGTTCAGAAAAGGTTTTTATCTTTAAACATCTCCATTAAGAAACAATAAAAAATTAATTAGATTTATTTTTCTGAATATCGATCAAAGAAAAGATTTGGGTACGATTTCTTTAGCTAACGGAATCTAAACCGGTGTGTTGGATATCAGAGTAAAAAATATCGGTACGCTTTAATATTGCTAATCAAAAACTTTTTTCCATAGCCCAATTTTGTCAGACAATAATTTCTGTTCAAGTTATAGGAAATAGTGAAACTTGTGTGATGTGGGCACTAGATTTTTTTATTTCATTTACTTTTCTTTTCTCTCTCTCCCTTTTCTTTTTTTTTTTTTTTCTTTTTTTCCAAACCAGAACAGAATTCCCCTTTTCAGAGAAACTATTTTATTGAGGAAGATTAAGTAAATTTTTCCTGAATTAACGTCATTGAGTATTTAAGATGTATGAAACATACTATATATACAATAAAAGAAAAACAAGATTATAACAAAAGAAAAGAAAAGAAAACTTGGAATAACAGAATAAATCAAACATGAGACAACATTAAATAAAAATAAATAAATAAATAAAAACACATTCATACTTATGTCTCTTATTTCTGGCACCGGGATTTGAACTGATAATCTTACATAAGAAATCGAATATAGTTTTGTAGGGAGTTTCATCACCTTTAAAAACAGGTTAAAAAGTCAGGTTTGAAACGGAAAGATCCGTCGAAAACCACAAATCCGAATTCTAACTTAGTTTAAATAAGAAGGTAATAAATTATAAAACATTTGTAGAAAATAGAATAAGCTGTATAATCGCTGATACTGCTTCGATTCCGATGAATACTTTTTTCGTTTTGTAGGTAATTTAATCAAATTTCAAAAGTGTGTATATAAATTTTGCCATACAACATATACTAAGCGAGTTAGGCCCCAAAACGAAAACCGCAAATCTGAAATTTTATCCAATCGCAATACCTCCTAGTAAAAGTAGGAAAGTAAAAAGTAATGTTATATTATATTGTAGGAAAAATTTAATGGAATTGAAATGGATAATTAACTAGAAAAAACAATTTTAAAAACTGTGTTATTTGTGTAATAATAATACTGGTTATTTTGCATATCCTATAAAATTTTATGACTTTAAATTACTATTTTGTTCTACAGGACGACCGATACGAAATGAAATAATCAATTTCAGATGACATGACCATAGGTGCAGAAATAAGGGGGAAGCGACTGCTACCTGCCTCCCCCTAATAAAAATAAAGGGGGCGAGAATATCGTTTAGCCTCACCCCCAAATATTTCAAAGTACATTAATAAAATCAAAATCTATAACAAATAATCTATATGAATAAGTAAAACATGTATACTAAAATTAATTAAGAAAATAGGAAAAGTTTATTAGATGGCTAAGCTATAGACTATATTAGAAGTAGGTACTCAAGTATATCATGCCCTAAGTTCCTATTTTAGATTATATTCAAAGATAATTAAATGTATCAACATATACTAGAATTTTATGACTCATTCATGAGCACTCTTCCATTCTATGTGGAGATTTTATCACATTTCCCGCGGTAAATTTGAAGCATCAGAGAATCGATAGCTCCTTTCACTATATATATAGATCATTAAATAAAAAATAAAAATGTGTAATATATTCAATAGCTTGGATAATATATTTTTAAATGTGCCAATATAAAACTAATGCGTGTGCTTTAGACCACACGATAAAAGTGAAAACATCAATACTGCGAGATTAATAATATAAAATATAAATTATAAAAAATACCTCATTATAAAGAGGATGAAATGCTGAACATTTTTCTATCTTATAGTATGTAAATCCAATTTTTAGTTTCTGAGATATTTTAATCAACATGGAATGGAATACATCTGCCTTCTGTATATCGGATTATTTATTTTACCTATGATGTATATTTGCATGATCCCTGGGGAATAATCGGAAATCCAATATTTCTGAAGAAGAAATCATCATGTGATTCTTATCAGAATGATATGTAATTAATATTGAAAAAACATCCATTAACTCTTAAAAATCACCTTCGATTATTCAATGGATTTACAAAGAGGACTGTTATTAAATATTAGTCATAATTTAAATATTTAGCTAACTGTAGTGTTTATTAACATCTAAAAAAAAGATAAATTAGCAACCAGTGAAATTGTATATCGTGATAAAGTGGTATAGGATTTTAGTGGTTCAGTTCCTCTTCAACATTCAAAAGACATTACCTGACATGCTTGTTACATGAATGTCATTT